AAATCGCGCACACACACACACAAGCAACTGATGGTGAGAAGCAAAATGGTAGCTCAGACCGAGCAAGACCCATTTGCCTCCATAGCCGAACTCTGCCGGCCGACTTCCTCACAGGACGCCAAATTCCCCAACTGCCCCTTCGCTCGAGAGTCCGATGACTTCCCCGGCATGGACTCCGACGACCTTTCATCCTCGCCGGAGCCGACGCCGCCGGAACCATCCGGAATCGTCATGGTCTCCCCTCTCCACAGCGCCGGCTCGACTCCTCCGCATACAGAACACAACACCGTTTCCCACACGCCGCCGGCGCACCACCTCCCCTCGTATCAAAAGCCTGACGGGTCATCCTCCGGCAGCGCCAGGTTAGTCTGTCGTCTTGATAAATCAATAAAAGCTAGATCTTCCCGTGGTGGATTGGAATTGGATGAAGGGATCGAGCCAGATGAAATTAGGGTTCCGGCGGAACCACTTTTTGGGGAAACTGTTCCGGCCGACGAGACAGTGGCGATTAATGATGAAATTGTGGCAAACGGAGGTACATGTGATGGCTCTATGGATCCCGGTGGTGCTGATTATTCAGTGTACACGGTTAGATCGGGTGAGATCTACAGGTCAAAGGATTTTGGTCGTACTAAGGTAAATTTTTTATTAATTAAGTTTTACTATATTTTATTATTATATCATACAATTGTTATTACTAAAATCAAACTAATTATAATTCTGGATATATAAGTTACATAATCATGGAAAATTATATTGTATTTTTTTCAAGCTATTTATTCTAAAAGTAATACTACCTCTTAATGTTTTTAGATGTCATTTTGGCTTTATCAACTATTGACCCAAATAAATGTTCTTCTGGATCTTTTGTACATATTTTTCCATTATTATAGTTAATAAATACACTATGTCTTTTCATATTCTTTTCATCTTTTTTTTTTAAAAACATTCATCTCTATCTTCATTAATGAGGGTTATTATTGATAAAAAATTTATTCTTAACTAGTGTGCAACTTCCCAAAACGACACTTATTATGAATAAGAGGGAGTATTAGTTTTTTAGTCATATAATTAATTTAATGACATATAAAAACCTCTTAAATATTTATGTAATAAATACTTTTGTTTCAATATTTTTCTAAGTACTTAATGGTAATGATCTATCAAAGTAAAAAAGAATATTGAATTACTAACTTTGATTTACTAAACACCGCACCTAAATTCATTTTACCGCACCTAAAAAAGACACTCATACTCTTAGTAATAATAAATAAACTTTTTATCTTATTTAGCGGTTGTATTTTTAAATAAGTTAATTTATTTTAATGTTATAGTAAAATTCCTTAAAATCGCATAATCAAATGTTATAATAAATTTAATATTTTTAAGCTAATAAATTGGCGATCTCTCACAATTACATTATTTATATATTTTATGTAATTAATATAGTGGTTCATATTCAATCAAATAATTATGTAGTATTTATTTTAACCAATGATCAAATTATAAAATATAATATCATTATCTAATTTATATTTTTATTATTATATGCATAAATATAACTTATAATACTCTATGTTTAAAATATAATATCATTGTATAACTTATATTTAATACTATATGTATAAATATAACTTATAATATATTATTTTTACATTGTGCAATAGATAGGGTCGAATACTTATTGTAGTTGAAAATTAAACAAATGATATAGACATTGTCAATGAAAAATCAATTTCCTAGGCATGATCCACAACTTCAGGTATGACCGTATGAGTTCTAAAATCGAGGATTTTAATTCATTATTTTTTGTTGAGTCACGGAAGTGAAATTGAAGTTCTCTTAACATTTTTTGTTTTCTTTTCAAAAATAATTGCAGCCAATCAAGGGCAATTCCCACTTCTAGCATCTCTATGTGTTATTATATAATAATTTTGACTAAGTGTAAATAAATTTATTGAATTGTGAATCATATATAAAAAAATGTTAAGTTTACAACTATAAAATAAAAGATAAAATCAAATGAATAAGTCTAACTACAATTTTATCTACTTATCAAATATTAAAAATTTTATAAAGAAGAAAAAACAATAGTTAAATAATTAGATAGTTTGGGGAGAAAAATCATTTTTTTCACTCTAGAAAGTGCGAAGATTATGCGAATGAACCACAATGACGAAAATACCCCGCGTTAAAAATTAAAAATACTCATAATTACAAAATGTCACCACCTCTTTGACTATTACTAGAGCCTTTGACCATTCCTAGAGCGTTGATATATCTATCTAACCGCTAAGATCCATCCTTATTTATTTTCCTATCATCCATTCTCATATGGTCTTACTTACACACACGCGCGCGCACGCACACACACACATACATTAATCATTTTGTACACGTACAAAAACGTAAATAAAATATTATAAACTTTATGTTTGAATATATATTAAAACTATGAAATTAGATAAGGGACATATTACAATTTTAAATTTTGACAATTACTAAAAATAAAACAAACAATATAAATATAAATTATTTAAGTATGCATGAATCATTATGTTGATTGACAATAAATTTGGTAGTGTAATTTTTATAATTTTGAGGGATCATAGTCAATTAATCAAAG